ATTGCTATGTCGTCGTGTCCCGCACTTACATATTATATGTATCTCTTCCAATGTACTACCTCATGACTCAATGTGTACAATATAGATGGTTTCGAGCTGACTTTCTCGTCCGAATTACGAGCACTAAGCCGTAGGCAATTAGAAAAATTAACGACGCCTCGACAAACTGTCTACAAATACTGAGTCCATTCGTTTGCAGTATTTGCGACATGCGGGCGAGGTCTCGGAGCTCGGCCTCGCGAGCCCGTAAGACTTGACCGCAGAGATTCAACGCTTGCCGGATGAAGACAGGACAACGTATGGGAGACATCTCGCATGGATACGCCAAACAGGCACAGACGATGTGTAGTACTGGACGACCTGAATAGTCATGGTCGAGGATATCTCGTCCTGCATTTTCACTTTTCCAGACTCCAATTGGGCGCTTAAACGGCGTCCGGCGCTCCCGGACTTTGCCGGTCGGACACTGCATCGGACATTAGGTATAAAGGCAGTCGGGTTCTGCGATTTGTCCGGTGGTGCGCATTCTGCGTCGGAATCGTACGTATTGCGCGCGCAATGGAGAAGCTAATCCGAATGTTGTAAAATGGACAACACGTAGAGCTTATGCCCTCAAAATCACGCGTCAGCCCATACCTGTGAACGCGTCCTGCGGAGCTGGCACGCCGTCTCATCTACGGAGCATTAGCATAATGCGCGCAAGCTTGGGAAAGTGCGCATGCCCTAAAATCCAGGCGAGGCGCCGCAGAGTGCTCTGGCCCGCTCTGGCTGCGATAGACAGATCATGGCTATTGCAAGGAGTGAACCGCTTACGAAGATTAAATACATAAAATACTCCATACAGTTAGTATAGGGTAGAGAAGACTTCTGGGCGTCCTCCGTGGAAGCGTGTGTTAAAGTGCGACTGAACTCTTGCTTTATTCTGTGCTACAGGGCCAGTATATATACATGTGAGTCAGGACCTCTGATACCGCTATAAGACCTATGGTACTGTGAGCGTAAGCATGTATACTAAGCATGAGTAATCAGATGTCGTATTAGTACAAGATAATAGAGGGGTCATGTGATGACATCCCCATTAGTCCGTACAGGGTAATGACGTAATCGCCCAAGTTCTGACACTCCCACTCGACTAGTTATTGCCTAATCTACTGAAGACCAAGCCTAGCATAGACCGGAAACGCTCAAATTTTGTTGCACCAAGTGGTTTCGTTAATGTGTCGGCGATCATTTCGTCCGTACTAACGTAGACTATATCCACTCGTTTTTCTTCTACGTATTCGCGTATGAAGTGATATCGAATGTCGACGTGCTTGAGCCTTCGGTCATGAGCGGGGTTGACTGCGAGAAAGATTCCTCCTTGGTTGTCTGCTACCAGAGGTGGTGGTGCAGTAGGAAAGTAACCTAACTCTTTTTGGAGTGACGTTAGCCAGGCTAACTCAGAGCATGCCTCTGAGAGTGCCATGTACTCGGCTTCCGTCGAAGATCTTGCCACCGTCTTCTGCATCCGAGATGCCCATGTGACTGCTCCATCGGCCATCAAGAAAACGAAACCGGTTGTTGATCGCCGGTTATCCTGATTTTCGCCCCAATCTGCGTCTGAATACCCTATCAAACCAGACTGATTTGAGCCAGAGTACCAGATACGATACTCAGTGGTGTGACGGAGATACCGGAAGATGTGTTTCGCGGCTTCCACGTGCTGTGACGTAGGGTTTTGCATGTATTGTGAGAGTCTTGTGACTCCCCAGGCGATGTCGGGTCGTGAACCAATCATCAAGTAGATGAGGCTACCAATCATAGACTGGTAGTGATGGCGGAGTGCGTCGGTAGCGGTATATGTTTCCGCAGCCTTCTCGAGATGTATGCCTTCAGGCAGTGGTGTACGGCAAGGTTTTGAGTTGTGCATCTGGAATCGAGATAGGATTCCTTCGGTATACGACTGTTGGTCGATCTCCAGACACCTGTTGTTTCTATCACGAGTGATCCGCATTCCAAGAAATGTACTAGCGGCTCCAAGATCTCGCATTTGGAATTTCTCTGCAAGAACTTTCTTCACTCGTTGGATCTCGGGTAAACTTGGACTCATTGGTAGAAGGTCGTCGACGTAAACTATGAGGTAAACTTCGACTTTGTCGTGATGGTAAACATAAACGCCAGCATCTGAGCACGTGCGTTTGAATCCGTTTTCGAGTAGCGTAGTGTGCAGCTTCTCGTTCCAGGTGCGCGAGGCTTGGCGTAAGCCATAGATAGCCTTCTTCAATCGACACACCATCTTTTCCTGTCCTTTCTTCACAAAGCCTTCTGGTTGTTCCATGTAAATCTCCTCGTCGAGCTTGCCATACAGGAAGGCCGTTTTGATATCCATTGCCTCGATTTCCCAATCTTCGAGTGTGGCATGTGCGAGTAAGAAGCGTATAGCTTCATAATGTGCGACGGGAGAGAAGGTTTCCTGAAAGTCTATCCCCTCTATCTGTGTGAATCCTTTGGCCACGAGTCGTGCCTTATAGTGGCCGTCGGGCTTGATCACATAAACCCATTTACACTTTACAATTCTCCGGTTGTTTGGTCTGTTGACCAGAATCCATGTGGAATTCTCCTCCTGAGACTTAAGTTCCTCTTTCATCGTGATCTCCCACTGTTTCACGTCTGGGCGAGACATTGCCTCGCAATACGTAGTGGGGTCAGGCTGGTGAGCATGACATATCCATTGGAATAAATTCCGACGGAGTTGATCGTCGACTTCCATTGGAGAGGATTCACGTTGTTCACGTGCTTCTCGTTCTTCTTGTTGATCACGTTGGATATCTCGTTCCTGTTGACGCCATGCTTCAGTGGGCGGGACGTCACCATAGCTGTTATCGGGAACACAGCATTGGCCTGCATTCTCGCGCTGTGGTCTGGCTGGATGTGGGACAGGTTGTGGTTCGAGATTCCATCGCTGCCTAATATTAGGAGCAGGTGGTGCTGCCTGACGAGATGGACCGGCTGATCCGCTCTGACGAGGACGATATTGTTCTCTCTGAGGTGGAGGTTGTCCAGGTGGACCGGGAACAAATGGTATCTCCAGATGTTCATATGGTTCCGGAGTTGGGCTTCGATATTGTTCATAACGATCGGCTGGATCGTCATTGACTTCGTCATCATCCTCTTGTTGCGGTTCGTCTTGCCGCGGTTGTGGATGTGCGTTGTCTGGGGGTTGATTGTCAGGTGTGAAGTCATCCGGACTGGTAGGGTCCGGGTTCGGCAGGTCGGGTAGGACAGGTGGAAGTGGATCTTGAGACGTTCCAGGCTCACGAGGCCTTTCGTCTCGCTTGGGGAAGGAAGACTCATCGAAGGTGACGTCGCGTGACACAACGATGGTCCGGGCAGTTGGATCCCAGAACCGGTAACCCTTTGTACCGATCTCATACCCGACGAAGATCATGACTTTAGCCTTTGGCTGTAGCTTATTGACCCTCGCATCCTTATGTGTGTGGACGTAGGCTTTGCAGCCCCATACTCGAAAGTACGATACGTCCGGAACAGTGCCGTTCCATTTAGTGATGGGCGGCTTCCATTGATGACGGCGCAGAGGTTGTCGATTGTATATGTGTACTGCTGTTTCCGATGCTAGCTTCCAGAACCCAGACGTCATGCCAGCGTGATGTCGCATAGCTTCTGCCTTATTCTGAATGGTCTGTTGCCAGTGTTCTGCTCTGCCGTTCTGTTATGGTGTTCGCGCCACTGATAGCTGATGCTCTATTCCTCGTTCTGCTAGGAAATCATCGAATTCGCGGCCTAAAAACTCCCCCCCACGGTCTGAACGTATAGCCTTGAGCTTGCGCTCGGCCTGTGTTTCCGCCCAAGCGACGAATTGCTTGAAGGCAGAGAAGGCATCAGACTTCCGTTTCAGATACCAGACTAAACCAAAAGAGGAATAGTCGTCGAGGGTGGTAAGAGCAAACTTGTATCCATCGAGTGATAACGACGGATATTCGACAAGATCCATGTGAATTAAGTCGAGGGGATGATCCGCACGACTGTCAGATGCAGGAAATGTATCGCGACGAGACTTCCCGAATTCGCATCCATCACAGGGAGTATTCCTGGTCGGTGCCGAGATTTTATCCGGGACGCCTTTGACATTGCCAGGCAGTTGAACAACTGATTTCTTCCCGGCGTGTCCGAAGCGACGGTGCCACAAAGTATATGGATCATCGGATTTGACCGACATTAATGTTCCTGGCTTAATCTCGCTGGTCCTGGTGAGGACTTCAGCTTCTAGCCAATATAAACCTGACGACTTTTCATATTCGCCCTCCATTAAAACTGTCCGCTTCGTTGGGTCTGACCCGCGGAGTAACTTAAACTTCTTGCCATCCATCTCAATACGGTGACCATTATTGAGTGGCATTCTGGGCGCAAAGAACCGTTCTGCAGCTTCCGGTACGTATAATACGGTTTCTAACCGGATATGCTGAACTCGTCCATCTGTGAGACAATGTTGCAGAGCGATTTCACCGTGACCTTTAATTTCGATAGTCTGACCTTTGCCGGCCGTGTGTGCATGACCTGGCTTAGGGAATTCATGGTACCGAATAAAGTCAGTTTTGTATGGTGTGACATGTGTTGTGCAACCGCTGTCGACCATCCACTTAGATTTGACACCCGTAGCATAAAGAGAAACAGAGATGGATTCCTCTTCGATCTTAGCTACTACAGGTACATCGACTATTCGTATGGTATTTACAGTCTGCGTGGTCGTTGCGGTATTGTCCTTCGCTTTGCCCTTTCCTTTTCCCTTCTTGCGCTTTCCGCCACCCTGCTGCTGCTGCTGCGTGTTGTTGCCGTTACCGGAACTCGAGCCAGAATTCGCCGGCTTTGTGTCCCAGTGCTGCTCCGTCGTATGGTTCTTGCGACCACACTTCTCACATTTCTTGTCCAGGAGGGGCGCCTTTGAGACGCGCGCAATCTGAGTGCGATTCGCGACGCGGCGCTGTTTCTCCTCGACGATCTTGGGCTTGATGAGTGCTGCTGTGAGCAGCGTAACATCAGTCTGCGTAGTGAGAATTGTACCAGCAATGGTCTGGTACGACTTGGGGAGAGCGTTGATCATGA